GGAGGGAGAGGCAAAAGCAAGGATCTTACCCAGTTTATTGTTGTTAAAATCGGGCTTGTGATTTTTTTTTTTTTTAAGATTTTATTTATTTACTCATGAGACACAGGGAGAGAGAGACACAGAGACACAGGCAGAGGGAGAAGCAGGCTCCACGCAGGGAGCCTGACGTGGGACTGGATCCCAGGTCTCCAGGATCAGGCCCTGGGCTGAAGGCGGCGCTAAATCGCTGAGCCACCCGGGCTGCCCCTTGTGATTTTTTCTTTAATATTTTATTTATTCATGAGAGACACAGAGAGGCATAGACACAGGCAGAGGGAGATGCAGGCTCCATGCAGGGAGCCGGACGTGGGACTCAATCTTGGAACTCCAGGATCATGTCTTGAGGTGAAGCCTCAGCTGCTGAGCCACCCAGGTGTCCCACAGCTTGTGATTCAATATCCATCAGTGGGTTCATAAAACCATTTGGCTTAGTGGATTTCAGATGAATTGTAGAATAGAATGGAATAAAGTGAAAATATCGGAGTGTTTACATTGTAAGCATTGTTCCACAAAACTTGTTTCTGTTAAATGTGTGTACTAGGCTTGAATAGTCCAAGTAGGAGAGATTCTTGTGGGGTATGATGCATCTGGAAGCATTTGTGAGATATCAGGAACGTGGAAGGAAGAGGTACCCAGTTGGCTGGCTCATGTGACTGTGGAAGGCTATTTCGAACAAAGGAAATAGAGAGCCAAGAAGACAAAGTATGTGCAAGTAATGTCCCTTTAATTGCCTGATGCAGAGAGACAGAAGTGAATGAAGGAAAATCTTGGAGGTAAGGGAGAGGGAACTATTTTGAGGACCTTCCATGCCAGGACTTAAATATCCATGAAAAAATAGGAACCTACTATGAAAGAACTGCCATTTATGTAAAGACTTCCCCACGGGCAGCCCCGGTGGCGTGGTGCAGCGGTTTAGTGTGGCCTGCAGCATGGGGTGTGATCCTGGAGACCCAGGATAGAGTCCCACGTCGGGCGCCCTGCATGGAGCCTGCTTCTCCCTCTGCCTGGGTCTCTGCCTCTCTGTGTGTGTGTGTGTGTGTCTCTATGAATAAATAAATACAAGTCTTAAAAAAAAAAAAAAAGACTTCCCCATAAGGGTGAGGAACTTACAAGGTCAAATTTAATCCTTACAACCTGAAAACGCAAACCTTGTTATCCTTATTTAACAGATTAGAAAAAAGCAGCTAAATGACTCGAAGGGTCAAAAGCAGAGAATTCAAATATAGGTCTGATAATAAAGACTACACATTTCTAATTTTTTTTAATTTTTATTTATTTATTTATGATAGGCACACAGTGAGAGAGAGAGAGAGGCAGAGACACAGGCAGAGGGAGAAGCAGGCTCCATGCACCGAGAGCCCGACGTGGGACTCGATCCCGGGTCTCCAGGATCGCGCCCTGGGCCAAAGGCAGGCGCCAAACCGCTGCTCCACCCAGGGATCCCCATCTAATTTTTTTTTTTAAGCAAGAGTACATGTAGTAAGCACAATGTTTAAAGGAAATCACCATGTGTGTACAGTGTACTTGAGAAACTGGAAGATACCCATCCATTTTAAAACCTAGAAATGAATATCAAGTACCGAATACTTAAAAAAAAAAATAATGCTTTAAATCCAGAAAAAAAAAATTAAAAAAAAATAAATCCAGGAAAGGGCACTGCTTTCTCAGGCTGACCATGATGAGTTCAATTATTTTTCTTTTTTAAGAGGTGGGGAGGAACAGAGGGAGAGGGAGAGAGAATCTTAAGCAGGCTCCATGCCCAGTGTGGAGCCTGACATGGGGCTTGATCCCACAACCCTAAGTTCGTGACCTGAGCTGAAATCGAGTCTGATGCTTATAAGCCAACTGAACCACTCAGGTGTCCCAGGTAGTGCTTACTTAAAAATGGAGAAAAACACCTAACACATTTTAAGACCATTCTGATTTTTTATAGACCTACACAGTTGGCTGAGATCATTTTCTAATTCTCTCCACAGAACTGTATGTATATTGTTTTTTTTTTAGAACTGTATGTATAATGTTAGAGGTTAAAATTTAGTTTGTAAATTATGTTCTCCCAACAGCAGATAATTTGGTACTATTATTGTCCTAATTTCTTAAAATTTAAGAGGACTGAACTTGGAAATTCCAAAATAGACAATAATTAAGTATTTAAACTTCGGGACACCTACATGGCTCAGTGGTTGAGCGTCTGCCTTCGGCTCCACGCGTGATTCTGGAGTCCCAGGATCGAGTTCCCTACCAGGCTCCTTGCATGGAGCCTGCTTCTCCTGTCCGCCTCTCACCGTGTCTCTCATGAATAAATAAAATCTTAAAAAAAAAAAAAAAAAAAGAGGGATCCCTGGGTGGCGCAGCGGTTTGGCGCCTGCCTTTGGCCCAGGGCGCGATCCTGGAGACCCGGGATCGAATCCCACATCGGGCTCCCGGTGCATGGAGCCTGCTTCTCCCTCTGCCTGTGTCTCTGCCTCTCTCTCTCTCTTTGTGACTATCATAAATTAAAAAAAAATTAAAAAAAAATAAAAAAAAAAAAAAGAATTTGACCTTCAAAGCCATTCACTTTATCTCAGGTGTTCTTAACTCATTAATTGTATTCTCTTGGCCTTGGAAAGGAAACAAATTGAGAATGGGATTATGAAAGTAGGTGATAGAGAAACAGAGTTCAGCAGAATTCACTGGGTTGAGACTGAACTTGCTCCATTCAGCAATGGAGACTGGAGGGGATATGCCCTTGAAATTGGGCATTAATCTTAAACTCACTTGTAATACCTTTCAGAGGTATACTTGCTGAGGCTGATGGAGCACAGTTAAAGTGGTGTTTTGCTGAAACTAAGGAATAGCTTTTGATATATTTATAAATGGAAAATGGTATGTAGACCAGGGCGGTTAATAAGCAAATTTTAAAAATTGACTGGTCTTTATCCAGATAAAACATTGTGATTTACAGTACACATTAAAACTAAAATTACGGGCAGCCCAGGTGGCTCAGCGGTTTAGTGTTGTCTTCAGCCCAGGGCGTGATCCCAGAAATCCGGGATTGAGTCCCACATCGGGCTCCCTGCATGGAGCCTGCTTCTCCCTCTGCCTGTGTCTCTGCCTCTTTCTGTGTCTCTCATGAATAAATAAAATATTAAAAAAAAAAAACCTAAAATTACTATAGAATCAGTGACAAATTCTTTTTTTTTTTTCAGTGACAAATTCTAATCTGAAAATTATCTGGCCTCTATAATCTTGATACACCATCCCTGACTCATGCTTTAGAACTGCTCAGAGAGCTCCTCAAACACACTGCCCATTCAGATTGCTTCCCCCATACAAATGTCCTTTTCTTTTTTTTAAAGATTTTATTTATTTATCCATGAGAGACACACAGAGAGAGGCAGAGACATAGGCAGAAGGAGAAGCAGGCTCCATGCAGGGAGCCCGATGTGGGACTCGATCCCGGGACTCCAGGATTACACCTTGCGCCTGGGCTGAAGGCAGTGCTAAACCACTGAGCCACCCAGGCTGCCCCACAAATGTCCTTTTCTGCCCACCCCACCTCCTTTGCCTGTAGGTCCAGTATATCCTTCAAAGTTTATTATCCAGTTTGACTTCAATTATTCATTTAATACCGAGTAGTTGCTACCTACTGAGCCAAACAGACTTGGTTACGGCCACCATGGAAACTGCCTAATGGAGGACTGTTGATAATTACCCAACACTATAAACAAAATGCTACGGTGCAATGATTACAAGAGTAATTAACTTGAATTGGGGGCCAGGAGAGGCATCTTTTGAGGAAATATTATCTAAAGTCTGAAGGAACAAAAAAAAAAAAAAAATAAAGTCTGAAGGATGTGTAATAGGGTGGACAAAAGGGGGACCCATCATTAGAGGAACTGAAACGAGCCCCAGTGGGTAGAGTATGAAGACTGCTAGATGAGATGGGAAAGCCTTAAGGATTATTGTTACTCTGTGGCTATGACCTTCCCCTGGCCTTCCTGAGGTGCCCCCAACGTAGGCCAAGAACCTTCCTAATCCTCCCAGGGTTATTCTAAACCGTTTCTGGCAGCGTCCCTTATTAAATTTCTTGAAGGTAGGGGTGCCTGGGTGGCTCAGCGGTTGAGTGTCTGCCTTCAGCTTAGGGCGTGATCCCGTAGTTCTGCGAGATCTAGTCCCCTATCGGGCTCCCTGCATGGAGTCTGCTTCTCCCTCTGCCTCCTCTGTGTCTCTCATGAATAAAATCTTAAAAAAAAAAAAAAATTCTTGAAGGCAGAGATTATATTTTAATTCTACTTTTGACCCTCAATATACCTCAATTAATCAAGTGTTGATTCATACCAAAGCTCTGACAAGTAGTCAAAAGACGATGATTTTTTACCCCTTGGCTTTGCTCTTAAAAATCTCAGTGTAACCTGGGCCAAGCCCCTGCATTCCTAAGGACTCAAAACCTGTTTCACTTTCATAATGTCAAAGACCACTTGACAGAAGTCTCAAATTATGATTGTGCCTCCTTAGGATAACCCGATCACCTTTAGCAGGCAAAAAGTTGATAGTTGTGTGAGGATAAACAGTATGTCAGCATTTGCCTTTATTCTGTGTATTTACTTAAAAAAAAAAGGGAAACATGTTTATGTGTACTTCATGAAACAAATCAGCCAAGTTAAGTTCTCTGCACTCATTAATTTGAACACATTTTATCTCAGTACTTTGACCATTACTGGAAGTCATTTCTTCAGTCCAAATTAAAGTTGAACAGGAAGAAAAAACCGTTAAGTTTCTAAAAAAGAAAAAACCGTTAAGTTTCTAAAAACCACCTTGATGTATCTATAATGAAAGGCATCAATGGTTTAGAATCCCTTCCAGGAGTAATAAGAGCACAAAGTGCTTGATGAATCCCAATACATCTATGCTGAATCACAAATTCCTGGGTGACTAAAACAAATTCCTAGAGTTAAACTTAAATTGGGACTGTGACTGAGTACCAGAAAAGAAACACCTGCTTTATTAATAAAACAGCAACAGAAAGGGTTTCCAAGTTCTTAGAAGAAAAATAACATGAACAGGCACCACCTGCTAAGTGTTACAAGATTCAATGCCCACATTGATTGTTCCGAGAGCTCTCCACCACACTGCAGATGTCTCATCAAGGATAGCTGCCATCAGAGCTGCTGCCAAGAACAGGTTTCTCACTGCAGTAGCTTCACAGTCAATTCCTCAAACAGCAGACTGAGATGGTATTATTCCTGTTTCAGAAGCTCTCAATGTAGAGAGAACATGGCAATTTGGAAAACAAAGCTTGTTTTTTGAATTCAAGAAAAATCATGACCCAATCTATCAATTTTTCACTGCTATGGTCTGCCAGAGTGCTCTGTGAAGATTCTTTTTCTGTTCCTACCACGTGTCTGGGTAAGAGGAGAGGAAAGGTGGAGAGGGGCCAGCGTACTAACAGGCACTCAGGTGGTGCTCTGCACTACTCCTTCTGTGCTGGCGGTGGTAGGCATCTTTTCTGGCAGCGGCAGCAGCAGCTTGGTGGAAGAAGCCAGCCACCAATCACCTCTTCTTGAAGCCATATTTTTTGCGTTCGTAGAAGAGATCTGTCTTAGAGCTCCCCAAATTGACAATCTTTGGGCAACCATCTCTCTGGAAAACAGGATAGAGAAATTGTTAGAAGTCTAACTCTGAACTGAAAGGAATTTAAGATAAAAATAACTTTTGGATCAATGGGGTTAGCCATTTATTTGCCTTATCCGTCCAGTTATCCTATTCAATCATCAAGAATCTATTATCTAGGGCAGCCCTGGTGGCTCAGCGGTTTAGCGCCGTCTTCAGCATGGGGTATGATCCTAGAGATCCAGGATTGGGTCCCCCGTCGGGCTCCCTGCATGGAGCCTGCTTCTCTCTCTCTGCCTGTGTCTCTGCCTCTCTCTCTTTCTCTGTCATGAATAAATAAATAAAATCTTAAAAAAAAAAAAAAAAGAATCTATTATCTAGAATGTGCCAGGGCCTATTCTACTCTCTAGCCAGGGTAGCCTGCACTTAGAATGTTGGGTTTCTCACCCACTTTTGTTGCTAATATGATACAGCTGAGGTAGAATTTAACTCTTAAGATATCCAAAGCGTTTTCCTCAAGGGAGAGATAAACTGTTATGATCATCTGTACATCAAGCACTCTAGCTTCCCTCCACTATCTCAACAAAGGGAAGAATAATACCACCAAGGCAAAATACAAAAAACAAAAACAACTAAAGGCTTTAGGAAATAGTACTTTACATGTTAAATACCAATATGAGAAAACCGGGCTTCATGTGTCCTTACTAACTCACTTAATTTGACACATGGTCTTGGGGGAAGACCACTCCTGTGATAGAGATGGCTGCTGAAGGTCTATACTCTGATTTGTCATGAAATGTTCCCCTGGCCATTTTGTGAGCTTGAGTGGTTTTAGTGAAGCCCCTGGGGAAGCTGTGTTCTGCAGAAATGATGACTTTATCAGTTCATCTGGGATGATGGGAGGAAAATTGGGGAAGATGCTACTACAGAAAACTTTCGCAGGTCTGATTTTATTAAACACTTATCAATCAAAGGAGGTTGTTCCCTGGGACACTGGGCTTTAGAACGAATTAATTGATCAAATCCTTATTTCTAATTTAGCTGATTTCTCTTTTGGGGATCAATATCAACACTGTACAAAAAAACCTCTAAAAACCCACAAAGCCAACACTAACATCTTATTTTCTGGAAAATATATAGCATATCACTTTGAGAAGGGCCAACTGAGGGAGTCAAGGAGTCCCAACAACTCCCTATGGGAACTCAAGCCATGTACTCCGTATTGAAAATCCTGGTACAAATGAGGAACACCAGCCTCTCACCTGGAAGATGGCCTGATACTAAACACCACAATGCTCTAAGCTCTTTATCTTTAGAGATGCTATGAAATATTGTGCTATAATGATAGCCTGTTTAGGCTTATTATGCCTGACTTGCATGACTATGGGTATATCACTTCTCTTTGGACTCATACTCCCTAACTGTAAAATAAGTGGACCAGATGAGGTCCATGTTTACAAACTGTAGAGCCTGGGTTCATCTTACGTGCCAAGTGATACAAGGGCCCATCCTCCAAACTGCACTGTTCTGTTCTGACTTTTGATGTTATTAATCTCCTTCCATCTTTTTTTGTCACATATATCATTACTATAATGGTAGAACCTATCTACAGAACTACAAATCAATAAATATTTAAATAATTTCCCTACTTATGAAAACACAAGAACCAATAAATAATATATTTAGAACAGTGCCTGACATATAATCAGACTTTTATTTTTATTTATTTATTTTTTTAAAAGATTTTATTTATTCATGAGAGATGAAGAGAGAGAGAGGCAGAGACACAGGCAGAGAGAGAAGCAGGCTCCACACAGGGTGCCGGATGTGGGACTTGATCCTGGGTCTCCAGGATCACGCCTTGGGCCGAAGGCAGACATTCAACCACTGAGCCACCTGGCATCCCTTTATTTTTTTTTTTTTTAAAGATTTTATTTATTTATTCATGAGGGGCAGAGAGAGAGGCAGAGACACAGGCAGAATGAGAAGTAGGCACCCCACGAGGAGCCGGATATGGGACTAGATCCTGGGATCACACCCTGAGCCAAAGGCAGGCGCTCAACTGCTGAGTCACCCAGGTGTCTCTATAATCAGCCTTTTTTTTTTTTTTAAATATTTTATTTATTAGTGTGAGAGAGAGAGAGAGGCAGAGACACAGGCAGAGGGAGAAGCAGGCTCCACGCAGGGAGCCCGACGTGGGACTCGATCCCGGGTCTCCAGGATCACACCCTGGGCTGAAGGCGGCACCAAACCACTGAGCCACTTGGGCTGCCCTATGATTAGCCTTTAATAAGTTCTCTCTCTCTCTCTCTCACACTCACACACACACACACACACACACACACACACGACTTGTGTGTAAGATACTTTAAGATTTTTTAAACATTTTTATTTATTTATGATAGTCACACACACAGAGAGAGAGAGAGGCAGAGACATAGGCAGAGGGAGAAGCAGGCTCCATGCACCGGGAGCCCGACGTGGGACTCGATCCCGGGTCTCCAGGATCACACCCTGGGCTGAAGGCGGCACCAAACCACTGAGCCACTTGGGCTGCCCTATGATTAGCCTTTAATAAGTTCTCTCTCTCTCTCTCTCACACTCACACACACACACACGACTTGTGTGTAAGATACTTTAAGATTTTTTAAACATTTTTATTTATTTATGATAGTCACACACACAGAGAGAGAGAGAGGCAGAGACATAGGCAGAGGGAGAAGCAGGCTCCATGCACCGGGAGCCCGACGTGGGACTCGATCCCGGGTCTCCAGGATCACACCCTGGGCTGAAGGCGGCACCAAACCGCTGAGCCACTTGGGCTGCCCTATGATTAGCCTTTAATAAGTTCTCTCTCTCTCTCTCACACTCACACACACACACACACACACACACACACACACACACACACGACTTCTGTGTAAGATACTTTAAGATTTTTTAAACATTTTTATTTATTTATGATAGTCACACACACACAGAGAGAGAGGTAGAGACATAGGCAGAGGGAGAAGCAGGCTCCATGCACCGGGAGCCCGACGTGGGATTCGATCCCGGGTCTCCAGGATAGCGCCCTGGGCCAAAGGCAGGCGCCACCCAGGGATCCCAATTTTTTTTTTATTTTTAAGTAATCTCTACACTCAACGTGGAACTCCAACTTACAATTGAACCCTGAGATTAAGAGTTGCATGCCCTACAAACTAAGCCAGCCAGGTACCCCTGCATAAAATATCCCCCCCTTTTGGTAAGATACTTTTTGAAGATAGGACTCCACATCTTCTTACAAAACATCTCCTTACAAAAACAGTTGGAAAACCAATGTATTAGATTATGAAAGGTGACGCCTGGGGGGCTCAGCAGTTAAGTGCCTGCCTTCAGCCCAGGACATGATCTTGGAGTCCTAGGATTGAGTCCCACGTTGGGCTCCCTGCATGAAGCCTACTTCTCTCTCTGCCTGTGTCTCTGCCTCTCTCTCTGTGTCTCTCATGAATAAAAAAGATTACAAAATCTTTGGTTTTTAAGCTATTTTCTCTCACAGACTCACAATTTCCTGTTTTCCTGCCTAAATACTCCTGCTTTTTATTTTCTACATATCTCCCAAGGGTTTACTTCTTCTCAAATTCTATCAATGCTGTAGGAGGTGAGGATGTGCTCTTGGCTTTTGTTGAACATGCCTGTGAATGGACAGCATGGAAACGAAGATGGAAGGACTGTTAAAAAAAAACCTTGGAGGATGCGGCACCTTGCTGGCTCAGTCAGTAGAGCACTGATTCTAACTCTTGATCTCAACTCTTGATCTCAGGATAGTTGAGTTTGAGCTCCACACTGGGTAAAAAGATTTCTTAAAAACAAAAAATCTGGGACACCTGGGTGGCTCAATGGCTGAGCGTCTGCCTTTGGCTCAGGGCATGATCCTGGAGTTCTGGAATCAAGTCCCACATTGGGCTCCCTTCATGGAGCCTGCTTCTCCCTCTGCCATATAGTATTATATGTCCATTGGAAGACCTTCAAGCTCTCAATAAATGTATCCGTGAAATAACAGGGATTGGGGCACCTGGGTGGCCCTGTGGTTGGGCATCTGCCTTTGGCTTAGGTTGTGATCCTGGGGTCCTGGGACCGAGTCCTGTGTTGGGATCCCCAGAGGGAGCCTGCTTCTCCCTCTACGTCTCTGCCTCTCTGTATCTCTCATGAATAAACAAATATCTTATAAAAATACATTAACTTTGAAAAGTACCAAATATCCTTTTTACAAACAGCTCTGCTCTTCACTTAAACAGGGGGAAGAGCAATAGTGAGGTCATTTGGAGAAGTACTTTAAGTTTGACCATTTTCAAAGGTGATGAAACCATCTTCAACATTACCATGGTTTATGTTTATCCTCACCCAACAAAATCTGTATTCCTTAGTATTGAATTTCCCTTATTAGAAAGAAAATATAATTTGAATTTTAACTTTTCTCTTTAGGGGGACAATAATGAAACAAAGGACATGAGATACGGGGAATCAGACAACCTGTGTTCTAGTCCCGGATCTGCCACTGATTAGCCATGTGACCTTGGCCCAAGCTGCTTAACATCTAGAAGACTTAGTTTTCTCATTTGTATCACAAAGAACTTTTGGAAAAGAATATTCAGCACAGGAACACTTGGATGGCTTGGTGGTTGAGCTCTGCTTTTGGTTCGGAGTGTGATCCTGGAGTTCAGGGATCGCGTCCCACATTGGGCTCCCTGCATGGAGCCGGCTTCTCCTTCTGCTTGTGTCTTTGCCTCTCTGTGTCTCTCATGAATAAATAAAATCTTAAAAAACGTTCAGCACAGTTTGGGGCACACAGCAAGAGACTATAAATGTTAGTGGCTATTCTCCTTATCTTCTGGTCTGAAGTAAAGAAACTGAGGGTTAAGGGGACATCAGATCAGTATGAGGCTGCCCTATAAGAAACTATAGTCTTATGGCAGCAGCGCCCACAGATAGGACTCCTGAGTATTTTTGAAGCTGAAAAACTAAGTGAGAACACCTGTTTAGTTCACGGGTCTAATCTTCTTATATATTATGAAAACGGCAGGAAGAGGAGTACAATAACTGGGCTTGCTTTGGTTGCAGGAAGATTTCTGCCTAGGAAAAAAGTCTTAGGGACTTAATCTACAAGATCTGGAAGGCTGAGAGGCTGGATCGTGTCACTGGACTGCTCTGTGTTCCTTGGAAACTATTGCTGAGTATATGTAAGCTAGATGCCATCTCAAGTATCCTCAGAACATTCCTGTACAGTATGAAGTAGGCGGAGTGACGTCTAGAATAATTCTCAGGAAAAGAACAAAGCACTAAGGTCCAAAGTATCAGTTGATGCACCACACGCAAATAAGTCAGACAGTAATTAACATTCATTACGCACTCTGGTTACAAGCTTACTTCAGACAAAAACTCTAGCTACAACCATGAAAAAGTTCAAGAAAATGTTGTCCTCATGGGCTCTGTAGGTAGTTTAAGACCTGTTCATACTTTCTTGTCACTGTTGTCACCTTCCCATGGCTTCACTCCTTAAAGATTATAAGTGGGCAGCCCCAGTGGCACAGCCCCAGTGGCGCAGCAGTTTAGCGCCGCCTGCAGCCCGGGGTGTGATCCTGGAGACCCGGGATCGAGTCCCACATAGGGCTTCCTGCATGGAGCCTGCTTCTCCCTCTGCCTGTGTCTCTGCCTTTCTCTCTGAATGAATGAATAAATAAATAAATAAATCATAAAAAAAAGATTATAAGTACTTACCAAACACTTCCTATATACCAGATAGTTTCTATGGGGCACTCCTATGGATGGCTTACAGGGGAAGCACCAAAAATGTGGACAATGCTCATAATACATACCAGGCACTATACCAAGAACTCAGGGAAAAGAGATAAATAACCAAACCAAGGTCCTTTCTCTAAAGGAGTGCAACCTAGCCAGTGAATCAGCTAGATAAGGCTATGCTTTGACAGGCAAAGGTAAATGCAAATCAGAGTTCAGGACAGGATGATTGGTATGTCATCTATGACCTTTCCCATCTTCCTAAAAAATCAGAAGACATAGTAGTATAAGAAAACAGTCTCATCTGGCCAGATACGGTCCACTTACTGGGTAGACAGGATCCAAATATTTAGACTGCTGAGGGGGCTAGGTGTTTTTACTCAACATGCGCAAAGTGTAATAATGGAGACACCACTAGCTTTAGTCAGACAACTATGCTTGCCACTTATTAGCTGAGTGATAGACTATAAAATGAGGATAACGATTATCCCTACTTAATTAGGTTACTGTGAAGAATAAAGAATGACATCTATAAACTACTTACTCTTTGCACATGGGAACATTGAGAATCATGTCTTGAGCCTGACTCGGGACTAGATCCCAGGACCCTGAGATCATGACCTGAGCTGAAACCAAGAGTCAGTTGCTCAACCTACTGAATCACCCAGGCACTCCTCATGGATCTTTTCCCTTACCCTAAATTAAGTAACCAGGTACCTACTACTAGCTTAGTGGTACTATTATGACACTTCTTTTTACTGTCATAAGGAGAAGAAAACAAGTGGATTCAAATTCCCCACCCTTCTAAGAAGGCTTATGCTTCCAACCTAAACAGTAACAGTAAAACTTGCCTTTAGTATAGATCTATAACCCCTCTATCCTGGCATTTGACTGAAGGAATTTTTTTTAAAAGATTTTATTTATTTATTCGTGAGAGATGCAGAGACACAGGCAGAGGGAGAAGCAGGCTCCCCATGGGGAACCTGATGCGGGACTCGATCCTAGGACCCTAGGATCATGACCTGAGCCAAAGGCAGATGCTCAACCAATGAACCACTCAGGTGCCCCCCTCGACTGAAGAAACTGAGCAACAGCCACTGCCACCACATATTGTCAAGGAACAAAGATGACACGAGACAGAATCACAATTCTGCACTATCAGACCAAAGGCATCCTTTAGCCAGTTAAAGCGGAAATCAACTTAGTTGTCCCAAATTCAGCTGTCACCACATCCACTCCAGCAATCTTTAATGGTAGTAAAGAAAATGACCGAGTAGCTTACATACTATGCACTGTGCCAGGACTCACAAAGTGCAGGATGTTGTTTCTGAATATGAATAATCAGAGACATCAAAGGAATAGAGAGCACTCACCAAACTGCTGACGTTGATAAAGATTTGCTTCTTTTGCATTTTAGCCCTTGATGCAAAATAACTGCCTTTTATGGACTACACCCAGCTCAGCTTACAGAACTTGAGGAAATTATAACCTGGGTGACTACCTGAACACAGTAATCTCCGCAGCCAATAGGAGTTTGCCGTGGTTGACAAAGAGTTACTAAATAAGAGCAGCAAAGATACACTCACATCCTTCTCCTGGATGGTGCACTCCTTACAATAATAGGCATCAGAGACTCCAGGGCCTCCGCAGATCACACAGCGCCCCTGGTAAGAGCCATAATTACACTCATCACATATGCGCACCAGAGTGCAGGGACGCACGTACGAATCACAGATCACACATTTGCCATCACCTGTGAAGAACAGAGAATGGAATTATGCTCATCCGCAAGTACTTCAAGTCGACAGGCGTGCCCTTCTCCTGCTATGGGGAAATACACTGGTCTCCGCCCGACAGTGACTTTAGGACCCTTTTTTTTTGGTATTACAAAACTCAGCCTACCCAGTGTCCACCCCAATCCCCTCAAGACTGAAGTTAACCAACTAATCTACTGAAAGCTTAGAACATTGCCTCACAGACAAGAAGTCTCTATCATTACCGGAAAGGACTGGGTATGTGTGTTTTGGAGGATGCGGTCAAGCTCTCTCCTGTCCAAACCTAGAGATTTTCTCGAAACCTAAACATAATGTTTAATGCGTGCAAGTGAGGAGCGAGGAGGTGGAGAGGGCCTATGGGTGCGGCCTAGTACTCAGTTCACATACTTCCAGGCACATCTACTCAAAGCCCTCTTTGTGGCACTGCTGGAAATGCCCGTTTGCCGGCTCTACACAAGTCGTGAGGGGGAAGGAGTGGGGTGTTTGGGAGGGCGTGTTCCACTCACATTTTTCACACAGTCTTCCGATGGCTGCAAGATCAAAAATGGTAAAGAGTATATTAGCATTGGTTTTGACGAAAAAAGGGAAAGATCCTCGAGTTTGGGGTGGCGACACAGCAGGGACTGCAGTGAGCCCTAAGGGCTCTTATTCATCTTACCCGCATAAACTTCCATCCGAGGCAAACCCACGCCCGTATGAGGCCGCCCCCAGGGCCCGGGCTGTCTCAGTTTCTTCGGACCTGACTTCGGCCGCCCGCCTCTGGCTCCCAGGCCCCCGCCCTCTTTGCACACAGCCCACAAACCCGCGCGCAGCCATGCTACCAACCGTGAGGCGGGAAACCTGGCGCTTCAGAGACAAAACCCTAAGGATGAGATGGGAACCTCTGACCCCCCAGCTCCTAATACAATCCCCACTCAGACAGCCGGGGCAGGACGCTGCCTCACCAACACCAGCCTGCTTGCGGCAAAAAATCAAATCCGGGTGATGTTTAGCCATAGTGCCAACGCAGACCGGTCACCGGAAGCTTAAGGAACTTCCGCCCGACCTTTAACCTCCATTTTCCAGCCTGCCGGTCGCCGTGATTGGTCCCCCAAGCTTCTCAAGCCCCGCTCGCTCTCGCTCGTTCTCGCGTGATCAAACCTTAAGTTAAAAAGTAGGAGTTTCCGTCTTAGCTTAAGGAGCTAGGTCCTGGCAGGTGCATGAAAGTCATGGAAAAATAAATGCCTTTCCGAGATTTGGATGGAAGACACAACTGAAACTTGCCTTTTAATAACACATCTTTGTGTCCGGTATTTATTTCCACAAGTGTTCTTACGGAGCTCTTTTCCTTTCAGGCCTTCGTTTCTAGCGCGGGACGGTTTCTAGCCCACTACGGTTGCCCGGCTCCCGCGCCTCTGCGGAGGCCCCGCCTTCGCCGTTACGTGTTTCCCGTCAGGCCACGCCCCTGCCCCAAAGCTATAAATACGCAGTGTCGTACGTCATTTTCACGCGACTTCATCTTTGTCAGTGCACAAAATGGCGCCTTACAGCCTACTGGTGACCCGGCTGCAGGTGAGTGAGCTCAGGGCCCTCTTGGTTCACGAGGGCGGGGTACCTCCTACGGTGCCTGCGGCTGTGGGCGAGGCGATGCGAGGCGGGCCCGACCTCCCGCCGACTTTTCATATACCTGTCGCGGCCGCGGGCCCAGCGCCGGTGCCCGCTCCTCCCGCGCCCGAGGTCAAGGCGTCCCCGGCTCAGCTCTCCTAGCCCTGTCCCCGCCCCGTGGAAGCGTAGGTCCAAGCAGCGGCGGTCAGGTGAAGAGTGGAGGGGCACCCCTTTCTGAGGACTGCACTCCCCTCTCTTGTAGTGTCTTTCCGTTCCTCAAGGTGAGGACAAGGTGACTGGGGGGCGCGGTCGTAGTCGAGGCCGCTAGGCCCAGAATCTGAAGGCCTCACTTCTCTCTCGGCAGCGGAGACTTGCTAGCCAGGTGCATCTACGATTGCTAGGCCTGGAGACTGTAGAAGAGATTAGTACTGCGTTCCATTTTAAGAGGATCCTGCGGAACATATAGCCAAGAATGCCAGGGGACTTTCCTGGCCCAGACGTAGTAAATAGTAATGGTGACAGTAATCATCTTTGCAAGATTGCAAAACTGTTTAAATTCCTCGTCATGTCATTTGATTCATATTATCATCTGGTCAGATGATGATTTTCATTCGATAAGTGAGGAAACTGCTAGAAAGTACGTGAAAGTTTGTGCTCTCCTGAGTGTCACCGAAGTGCTGTGGCCTGAACATCTGCCCCGCTTACCCTTTTTTTTTTTTCTTATGTCAGCCTGTCTTCTGTCATCCAGAATGTGATCCTTGAGCTAACCTTTGTACTTGTGAAAGTACCAGTATGGAGTATTTTGAGCTCAGTTAGTTGCTTTTCAGTTACTACATGGGAGGATAAAGAGACTCAACAGTTTGACCTTGACTCTTCTGTTATGGACCATCTAGAAAATCGACTGTGCTTGCCAGATGGTTTTCTTCACTCCTAACTTGACAACACTAGGAAGGTGTTACATGCAAGGTTTCAATGTCAAGCATGTATTTTGTTAATAAAAATAAAGCAAACCAATTCTCTGACAACCTTTTACATTTAACTTTGTGAATCTGCTTTGAATCAAGTGGCACAGCTTTGATAATAAAATTCAAGAAGTTATGTGCTATCCTTTCAGGAAACGTGTTACTAAGGGGTTTTTCGTTTTGTTTTTAAAATCACATTGCCTTAATTTAGACCATATGGTTTAAAATGATATGATCACTTATCTTAAATACTTCTGATCTCACAATTCTGGGCAAAGACAGGAGTTTGCCCTAATTATCTCTTCAGATCTTTTGATACTGTAGGTTAATAATATAGAAATACAGGTAATTGTTTTTTCTTGATCCTGCTGTCCCCACGATGTAGTGAAGTCAGGCAGTATTATGTGATGTTTAAATGATTACAGATTCAATAATCTTGGAAGAGAGGACTGATATCATAGTATTTTTTAACTGAGAAAGGATCTTGGAAAACATGAGTGTTAGACCAGCATAGAAAGAGATCTGGGCCATAGTTCATACACTATTCTGACTCTGTGACCTTGAGCAAATTACTTTTGAATTTTAGTTTTATCATCTGTCAGTTTGGGATGATCTTCATTGACAAATGCTTATTGAGTACTTGGTAATAGGCTTCCATTCAGATTGTTATGAAGTGATGAGAAAAGGAATATTTGTTTATGGTCATTGTATATATGGTCCGACCTTCTCTTTTACAGATGGATAATCCAAGACCTTGAGAGCCTGGGTGACTTCAATAACAGTCAGGATTAAAATCCAGGTGTCCTTGTTCATTCAGCTAAGATGAACAACAGCAGTATACCACACTGCCTCCCTGTCTTAAGCCAGGCTGTCTTAAGTAATGGTCAGCTAACACTGTGCTCTGAGAACCTTGTAAATTTACTTACCTCTTTTGTGTTTGGCTACATTTGAGAAGTGATGGTTCTTCTGGTACTACCAGAACCCTGGCCTTGTGTTCAATTTATTCCTACCTCATTCACTGCATATTTATTGAGTACCCACTACTTGCTTTGAATACAATGATAAGGAAAGCAGACATTTCCCATTCTCATGGAGCTTCTACTATATCCTAATATATTTTACTGCAGAGGGCCTCTGAGGTCTTTCTCAATCAAAATATTTTTCTTCTGCCCTTGGCTGGACCAAAGGTGAAGGTAAATAATACAGTGATGGCGATTACCACTACCACTAAGAGTAGCTAACATTTACCTTATTGTGTGCCAGTAATCTCACATGATCCTGTGAGATCAGACCTATCGGCTCTGTCTTCAAGACGAAGGATTAGAGAAGAAATACAGTATGATGGTTAAGAACATGGATTCTGGCATCACACTGTCTAGACTTGAAAGCTGACTCTAATACTCACTTTTGGGCAGGGTACTTGACCCCTCTGCCTGTTTCCTCACCTGTAAGATACAGATAAGGATAGTACATTTGGCTTATCTAATTACCATATTATAGGTGCAAACTATTTAGAACCCTGCCTGTACCTAGTTAGTGCTGTATAATTAAGTAAATTGAAATAAACTTGCCTAGGGCCTTATCAATTGTTAGCAGGTATAATTTGAATTTGTACCTTTTTGATTCCAGAGTCTGAGGTCCTAGCACCTGCATTATACTGCTTCCCTTTGACATCAAGACTCAGTCTATCAGCCAGGGTACCATTAATGTTTCATAACCTGAGAACAGATTTCCTTGAGTTGGAAGTGTTCCATTATTTAACCGTGCCTGTCACCAGCTGGTAACATTAGAAATAATGAAGAAAATGCGGGGAACATTTTGAAAATCCTCATTTACTCTCTGGTGTTTATTTTTTATTTGTGTGCTCATGACTCTGGGTGGTAGATATAAGGGGTTGGCCATTTACAAATATGTTTCTTAGGTCTTTGGTTTTGCCTTGACATACTGGGTTGCTGAGTTCTCATCATGTGGCCTTGGGGAAGTCCTGTAACCTCACATGTAAATCTGAGATGGTATTTAACTACCAAAGGAGTCTGACAAATTTGGCAGAAGTTCTCTATAAAGTGCCATGTTAAAAAAAACTCCCAACAACCTTGAGAATTATGAAACAGGTCATTCTGGTTACATGTCACTGTAGCAGCATCTCAGGTATCCTATAGGGAGCTATTGACTTGAATAAATGAATGAATGATTGAACGGACGAGTAAATAAACTTCCAATCTAAAATTTGGGCAGAGGGAGTAGAGTCCCCATCTTGAGAACTAGGGGAGCACATTGTTGACTTTTCAACTTGCTGTTAACAAAATGTTCATTGAATGCTTTACATTGAATGTTCTACACCCTGCTAGTGCAATAGTGAACAAGAATAGTGGATCTTATATTGTAGTTCTTGGCAAACAGAAAATAAGCAAGTAGACAAAATCATAGCTACTAAGTACTACAAGGAAGGTAAAATAGGATCGTGTGGTAGAGAGGATAAGTGTGGAGCTGTGACATGGCTTTAACTGTAGTGGTTGGGGAATGCCCTTCAGAAGAGGTGACATTTGAGCTGATACTTAAGTGATAAGGCAGCCCTTAGATATATATATATGTTTTTAAAGATTTTATTTATTTAAGAGCACGAGTATGAGGGAGAGGAGGGTCAGGTCAGACAGAAAGGGAGAAGCACACTCCCTGCTGAGGAGGGAGCCCAACACTGGGCTTGATCCCAGAACTGCTAGATTATGACCTAAGTCAAAGGCAGATGCTTAACTGACTGAGCCACCCGGGCGCCCCGGCCCTTCATTCAGTGTTTTGGGAAGAAAGACATTAAGTAGGAGCAGCATGTACACCTGATACAGGTATGAGCTTAGTGTGTTGAAGGTAAGAAATAAGGCCAGTGTTGGGGCACCTGGCTAGCTCAGTTGGTGGAGCATGTGACTCTTGATCTTGGGGTTGTAGGTTCAAGCCCCATGTTAGGTGTAGAGATCACTTAAAAATAAAATCTAATGCCAGTGTGGCAGAGTGGTTGAAAGGAGAGGAAGGTCTGAGCAAGAGGTAGGAGCCAAGGTCATGTGGGCTTGAGTTTTACCCCAAGTGGAATGAAGATCCCTTGGAAGGTTTGTCCCCCAACCCCCACTGGAAGGTTTAAGACAGTGAGTGACAGGATTTGATTTATGGTTAGAGAAAATAGTTTGAGGGATGCCTGGATGGCTCAGCGGTTGAGTGTCTTAGGCTCAAGGTGTGATCCCGGAGTTCGAGTCCCACATCGGGCTCCCTTCGAGGAGCCTGCTTCTTCCTCTGCCTGTGTCTCTGGCTTCTCTCTGTGTCTCTCATGAATAAATAAATAAAATCTTTAAAAAAATCGTTTGGGTTGCTGGATGGATGATGGACCACAGGGGGACAAAAGAGAGGTAGGGAGACCAATGGGGGCTATTGGAATCATCCAGGGAGTGGTGATGGTGTCTGGGACGAGGGTTCTGGTAGTGGAGATATTTTGGAGGCAGATGGGTTGGCCAGGGAGTGTGAGGGATAGGGAATAATTAAAGATGACTCCTAGGTTTGTGGCCTAAGCATTTGAGGGATGGGTGAACTTGTATTTGGTAGT